ATTGAATTGGAAAAGGCCTCTGAGATCATCAAATCCAACCTTCAGCATTAGTCCAGCCTTCCCTTGGAGAAAAGCAAGACAATTTTTAAGTGAAAATGATAGAAAACTGCAAATTTAGGAGTTCCCAGTAAAAACCACTTCTTATTTGAAACATTTTCTAAGTAATCTGTCACATTTCCAAACATTTAATCACCATTTTGATTTGTGAAGGTGTGAATTCCACAGAACCAGGCATCACTATGTCACTGATGCTGGGCTTGGAGTTCTCTGAGTCAGCTTTATTGTGAGCTTTAAGGTTTTAATATTTATTTCAGGGTAGACCATTAAGTTTTTTTATTGCAAATAACTAAAAGCCTGAAGCTTTTGTTTAACAAACAACATGTAAAAAACTCCTTTTGTTAATACAATTGTGCCTCCTGTGCCTAAAATACTTTATATAATAATTTATATATTACATGTAGGCACAGCTTGCTGGAAGAAAGTTTTCATAAGAAAGAGGTTTTCTTAGAAAACTTGATTTTACCTGAAACTTTCAGTTTCTCTCCACCAGTGTAAGTCCACTGTTCCTTGTGAGCACTCCCAATGTCCTGCAGTGGCAAAGCAGACCTGGGGCCAGTAACCAAAAACGTGAACGTTGCATCAAAGTGCAGAAAGGGGCAGGGACTTCCTGTGGGAAGCAGCAGATTGATGCAAATGAAGCAGGCAGGTTGCTATTTAAGAGGTTTTCTGTCATCTCTGCTGAGAACCAGCCCTGCTGTGGAAGGCAGCTGAAACTGGTTGTGCCATCAAGGGACAACTTAGACTCAGCTTTAAAACTTTTTATGTGCTGGCTGCAGAGAAAAGAAGATGCTGCTTCACTTAAAACCTGGCTTGGGAAAGAGCAAACTGACCAATTGTCATCTTCTCTGTCCAGGAAGAGGAAAAAAGGAAGGCAAAGGAAGAAGAGGAGAAGAGAGAATATGAAGAGTACCTGAAGCTGAAGGAGAGTTTTGTGGTTGAAGAGGAAGGAGTTGAAGAATCAATGACAGAGGAGCAGGTATGTGAGGCTGGTTCTGCAGTTCCCCTTCTCCTGTTAGACTTGCTGCATTCTGTCTTGTGTAAAATGAAATTAAAAAGTAGGAGTCAGCCAAAGGTTTCTGCTTGTGAAAGCTAAATTGTGTCTGTGGCACAGGTTAACCCTGGAATATTTCCTGGGGAATGCTGCTGTTCCTCATACCAGACTCCCACGGGGTATTTTAGAGTTCTGAAAGAACTTGCTGGAAATGAGTTCTGTCCTCCCTGTGTCTAAGAACTGAAATCAAACTCATTCTGGAATTCAGGTAATCTCTCACTGTCAGCAGCTCTGCCTTACCCACAGAGACTGAGCCAGTAAAGCTGAATTTGGAGTTGGAAAGTGCCCACAGACCTTGGGGGCAATTATTTGGGTTTGGCTTTATTTTCTACACTAAGAGAGCTGCTGTGAAATCAAATTAAAAACCAAGCTCTTGTCTCAAAAGGCTTCCGATAAGGAAATCCTCAGGACAAACCCACACTGCTGCTCCTGTGGCTGTGGTTGATATGTGATACTTGATAGAAAATCACAGCAAACCTGGAAAAGTTTTGCTGTTGTGGGAGGGAGAGTTTTGTCTGCTGAAAACCTGTTAGACACAATTTATTTGCTATCACATCCTGGAATTGCTCTTGGGTTGTAGCTGCCAATTTGAGCTGTCCAGTGCATTTCTTGGGAAGGATTTATTTCAGGGCCATGGGTGCATTTGCTGCTCTGCTGAAGAGACTCTGGAATTCAATGGATTTGCTTTAGTGTGACTGAGAGTGGCTTTGAGCACAGCAGATTGTGCCCAGTGTCAGCACCATTGACTCATTACAGGTTCTCATTATGGTCCCCTTCCCATCAAAAAAAATTCCTCCATCACACCAGGATTAACACCAAGTTCTGTCTGCTGATGGGGAATTCCCTAAGGTGCAGTGAACAGCAAAATGCACACTTTTATTGACAGTTCCTTCAAAAATCTGTACCTGTCCTGTCAGGAGATGAGATTATCCCTAAATACTGTTGTGTTCCACTTCAAACACCCTTTAAAGCTGGAATGTGGTGATTGTCCCTGTTCCTACAGCTGCCTGTCAAGGAGAAATTAATCTCCCTCCATGTCAGAAGACAGAAGGGTGTTCCTCACCTAAAGGAGCTTGGCAGGCAGTTGATGATGCCTGTATGTCAACCTGAGATAAGTTTGATAGGGGTGAGGAGCTAGAACTTGAATTGCAGGTGATTTAGAAGTCACATTCAGATATAATAACAGGTACAGAGTTATTTGGAGGCAGCAGAAATGAGAAGGAAATTAAGCAGCCACCCTGGCCTCGTGGTGGCTGAAGTACTGAAGCATTTCAGTATCCTGTTAGCAAAGCTGACTCTGCCTTGTGTTCTTGGGGCTGCTTGTGCTGAAAATCAAGCTCCTGCCTCCAGAGCTCACCAGTTAATTAAGGCTGATTGATTCCCAGGGTTGCAGAGCAACCTGATCTCCTTTTAACCTGCATTGCCTCTGAAATGGAGCTGCTCAATGGATTTCAGGTGCATGGCTCTGAAATGCTTGAGCTTCCACAGGTGCTGTGCAGCTGTGCTGCACTTGGCCATCTGCAGGTCCTGAGTCACTCTGGGTTTTCCTCTGCATGGAATGGCCTTGGTGTGTGACTTAATGATGCTTAAACTCACCCAGATGTGTTTATTTCAGGGTATTTATGATGTGAAGAATTAGAAATTGTATTATAGCCTTTTGGGAAAAATTTAAATTGTACCTGAGTCACATTCTGTCTCAGAAAATACCTGTCAGAAATCCCTTGTGAAGGATTAAATCTAGATTATTTTTAAATCTAGATTTTTTCTTCCCAGTTCAATATCTCAGTCTGTGTAGTTAAAACTTAGGAATTATGCAATTTAAACACTTTTTTGATGCATTTAATGCTCATGAATTCAAAATAATAATTGTTTTCCTTGCTCTCTCCAGTCTCGCAGCTTTCTTATGGAATTCCTGGAATATGTTAAGGTAAGGTGCCTTTGGTTTTTCTCTCCTTGGTGTGAAAAACCTTTTTGTCAAAGAGCGACATCTTTACTTCCTCTTTTATTTATTTAAATATTCCACAAGTAACAGAAGTGATCCCTTCAATAAGTGTTATTTACTGAACCAGCACAAACACAGTTATCTAAACTTAATTTAATTCCAGCTGGGTGCTGGCTCTTGGGGCAGGATGTGGCTCTTGCCCTGTGGTGTAAGACAGGCCTGGTGAATCTCCTTCAGAGCTCATGGAAGCAATGTTTGCTGTGGATTGGGATTTGGAGCATTTAGGCTTTTTTGTTTGTGAGCATCAGCCACTGATTTAAAAACAGTCTCTCCATGTGAGCTCAGCAGGAAGGAGAGTTGCTGTACCAGGAGGGTGATTTTGAGCTTCCAGCATCGCACTGGAAAGCTCAATCCCAACTTTTCCTGTGATTCCTTCACGTATTTCTGTCCTTGCAGCTTCCAGTGTTTGAATGTTCAGGAGGGCAGCGTAAGAAGCAGCTGCCTGGTTTTAACCAGGGTGTGTCAGTCTCCTTTTCATCCCATTGTATGGCTGGGTATTTCAAACCTGGGCTGTGGTCATGAGGGTTTGTGCTTTTGATCTGTGAGGGCAAATGCTCTCCACTATTGCTGTATCAAAGGTCAGATGCATTTTTCTCCTCTGACTCCAACACTGGCATGCAAATCTTTTTTTCCTAATGAATCCCTTTCTTCCTTTACTGGAATCTGAACTCTCAGGATGTGTGACCTGTGTGAAAGGCTTCTCCAGCAAGCAAATCACTTGGATAACTCAGTGAGCTGCTAATCATTTTCTATTCCAAAATCTCACGTTTTGCACGTCCATTATCCCAGAAAAACCCTGGACTTACAGCAGATTTATCTCCTGGACTTAGAGATTTTCCTGATGGATAACTCTCCTTGGGGAGTCCTTTGGAGTGATTGCCAGGCAGTTGTGGACAAGAGCTCAGAGCAGAGCCCTGCAAAGCCCTGCTGGGCTGCTCTCTGCTTCTTCTTTACCTCTGTGGGTAAAAAAGGAGATTCCAGTGTCCCTTGAGATCTTCCACAAGCACTGGGAGGTTTCCAAGGGAGGACACAGCCAGGGCAGACTCTGCCCATTGCCCCGGGGCTTGTGGTGGATGGATCAGATTAGTCACAAACTCCCAGTTGAGTGTTTCAGCACTAAATCCTGTATCAGTCACTTAATCTTGACGTCAGAGAAATTAAACTTGGGCTGGAAAGCAAAGTCTGAATATTCGACACCTGATTTCCTCTGCAGAACTGGGGCATTGCTTTCTTTCACAAGTTTTAAGTAGTTTTTCTTTAATCTTGAAAGTGTGCTTAATGTATAGATAATATGTATTGCCCTCATATTCTGTTCTGTTCACAGAAACCATTGACAGGAAGCGGTGCTGAGCTGCTCGTAGCTGTCAGAAAAAATGTATAAATTAAGAGTAATTGGCATTTTTTTTAAAAATAAAATTGAATTTAGCTCTTCTTTTGAATAATTTCTTGTGCTGATATCATTGACTGGAGATAGGTCACCCCATGCTTCATTCTTAAGGGTGTTGGGAGCAAAATGCAGCCTCTTGCTGTGTTTCATCCCTTGCTGAGGACAGCAGCAGCATCACCCCTAAAATGAAATTAATTCAGGAAAATGTGGATGTGTTTTTGTTGCTGAAGGGAAGTTAAGCTTGTCTCTAGAACATGATGCATGTGGAGAAGTGTTTTATTCCCTTGGGACCTCATGGTGCTGTTGTATTCCAGAGTGTGGGGAGTGCATCCTAATCCCACCCCAGCCCCTTGGGCTCTCATTCCCAGCAGGATCTGTCTTGGAAAGCTTCCACTGAACTTGGTCATTGAGGGGGAATATCTTTAAGTGAAGGTTTAAGTCCTGTTTTTCCTGTTCATGTGGCTTTGCACCAACTCCCCCCCAATCCCTTTAAAAGAAGATGTGACGAATGTTGGCAGTTCCCAGCTCTGAGAACTGAATTCCATGGACTGGTTCCAGTTCCATGTGTTCAGTCCATGGTATTCAGTTCTCTAGCTTGGCTGCATCGAACTTCACAACTGCTAAATCTGTGTGTGGCTTTCTTTTTGGTCTGATTTTATTAATGAAAAAGATTCATCTATTTCAGCCTGTCTCTATTTCTTCAGTGGCCTCCCAGTATGCTCTCAAGACCAGGAACAAAGGACTTTATTGTTTGAAGTGTTTAATTTGTTAATGGAGATGCAGCTCCATATGTGGCTGTACATACATGGATTTTAGGAATGTAGACCTGAATATTGACTGAGTTTTCCAACAGTTTTGTCTTTTCCAAGCTCCTTACAAACACTGCATCCTTTTGCAGCTAAACAGATGAGTTCCTAAAACTTTGGCAGAGAAGAAACCAGGAACCAAGTAGCTGCAGACAAGCACTACAGGTGTTTTCTCTGGAGCTACAGAGAAGCACAAAACCAGATGTGAGCAGTGCTGGTTGTGCCTTGACTGAGAAAAGCTGCAGGAAGAATCTGTCAAAAGCATGACAGTGTGCAGCTCCAACACTGACAATTTTAATAAGGTGTTGGCTTGCTTAGGAAGATTATTATGGCATTAATACACATGACATCAGTAAAACAGACTAAAGCACTTAATGCTGCCAGTCTTGCCTGGGTTTTATGTAAGTGCTGATACACACCAGTGATGGTTTTAGAAGGTGCTTTGAAACATCCCTCAAAGAAGAAAGGGCTCTTGGTAAAACACACTGGAAATTAAAGGTGGCAGCTGAGAAACTCAGGAGGTGGGGGAACAGAGTCATGGCTGTTCCTTGTGCTCATCCCAGTGTAAGGAAAAGTCTGGAATCAAGGCTGGAAGATGTGTTTGAGTCTTGCCCTGAGTGGGTCAGAGCACTCAGTCTTTCCACAGAGCTCCCTGCTTTAGGTAACCTGAGAGTTTTTCATCAGAAGAAAGTTCTTACTACAAAAAGTTACTTAAAGGAACAGGTTCTGCCTTGTCAGATTAATGCATTTTTTTATTTGAATGGAAAAAAAAATCCCAACTTTATCATTCATCAGCTTAATACTTGTTTGTTCCCACAGAAAACAAAGGTTATCCAGCTGGAGGACTTGGCTTCACATCTGGGTTTAAGGACACAGGTAAGCACTGACTTTTGGGGTGGAAATACTAATTTTTGCTGGGCCCCTGCCTCCCTCTTAAACCAGAACTCCATCTAAGTGTGCAGTGGGTTACTTACAGGAATTTATCTGGTTAAAATCTAGATTATAATTTCCTTCTGCAGTTATATAACAACAAGAAAGAGAGGTAGAGCTGTAGAAACCAACACTTGGGGTGCAGTGGAACTGCATGCTTGGAGTAACTGTGGAGTAAACCTAGCCATAAATTCAACAAGTTGTTGCTTTGGGTAGTAACAGAAGTTTGCTCCTAAAAGGAGGAGGAAGAGTTATACAAAATGTGGAATTTTTGAGCAGGGAAGGACCTTGGAGAAGGATCTGTGTGCTTCATGGAACTTCATGGCACTGCACAACCTTTCCATGGGAAGATTCCTATAACCCCTTCCTCCTTAAAACAGGCAGTAAAAGTCTCTTTTAAGGAGTAGGGAATTTAATTTGAACATCCCAAAATACAAAAAAAAAAAAAAAAAAAAACCAAAAATCATCCCTCTAAGACCAAAGGGCTGATTCCATCTCTCTGTGTGGGAGTGCTGAATTTCTTAACCCTGAGGGATTTCAAGGTAAGCCTCTGTAGTTTATCTGAACGTGTGAAATGGTTTTTGCTTCCCTTTTGATCAGTCTGTTACTCCTTTTTCTCTTCTGCACAGGATGCAATTAACAGAATCCAGGACCTGATGGCAGATGGCACACTGACAGGTGACAGCCAAAGCACAAAGGGGATCTTTCTGTAGCTGGTGGTGCAGAAAGTGCCTTCCCTATGGCAGAGAGAGAATTCCAGTATCATTCCTGTTTTAAGGATCTAGTAGGACTTAACAGCTAGATATTTATATTTTATTTATTTACCCATCTGCTGAAGGCCTTTTGGGGTTGCTGAGCAGCCAGCTGCAAATGGGGCCTTCTGAAATCTGAATGTGAGAGGATCACTGGGATGATTTGGGGTGGTGTTAAAGCCAGGACTGGGGTGTGGCATGTGGGAGAGGCAGACATCCCAGAGCACTGCAGGGTGCTGGAGTCAGTGAAGTGCCAGTTCCCAGCCCTGCACCCTCCCAGTCCAAGCTGGCATGGCAGCAGAGACTGAGCAGGAACAAAACATGCTTTAGTGCTGGGCAGTCTTGTTCTTTCCAAGGGTGAAGTAGAGAAGGGTGCCAGCACAAACATTTATTGACCTGATCTTGTGCTCGTGGCTGGAGAACAACTGTCTCAGCAAGTGCATGTGGAAACCCTTTCAAATGCCCTAAAAGTGCTTGGAATCCAGGGAGAAGGATGTGTGCTGTGTTGGCTGGCTGTGCCCAATGCCAGGGAGCCTCTGCCTCGGTGGAATCCATAAAAACGGTTCTGTTCTCAGTCTGGAGCCACAGAAATATGGAAACTGAGCTGCATTCCCTTCAGAGGGGAAGCTGGAAAGGCTGAGCTGGGCCCCACAAGGGCTCTCAGTGCCCTCCTGGACCCTCCTGCTCTGCCTTTCTCCACCAGCTGCCTGAGCTGGGAACATGAGCACCAAAAAGGCAGGGCTAGGAAGGGGAAGAAGGGTCTGGAGAGGAATCCATGTGAGGAGCAGCTGAGGGCACTTGGCTTGTTCAGCCTGGAGATGAGGAGGCTGAGGGGAGATTCCTCCCCAGGGGCAACTCTGATCTCTGCTCCCTGTGACAGGGACAGGACCCAGGGAACAGCTGGAGCTGGGTCAGGGGGATTTATGTTGGGGATCAGGGAAAGGTTCTTCCCCCAGAGCATTGTCCAGGCTCCCCAGGGAATGGGCACAGCCCCAAATGTGCCAAAGCTCCAGGAGAGTTTGGACAACGCTCCCAGGGGCAGGGTGGGATTGTTGGGGTGTCTGTGCAGGACCAGGAGCTGGATCAGTGATCCTGGTGGGTCCCTTCCAGCTCAGGACATTCTGTGATCCCTGCAGCAGCTGCTGTGGAGCTCCCAGGCAGCTGTTGCAGTGCACAGGACGGGTTCCTTTGAGCAAAAGGAGCATTCCCAGGGCCCTGGGCTGCTGGCACAGCCCTGCTCCAGCACCCAGCAGTGGCCAGGAGATAAAATCCTGCCCAGCCCAGATAGGCAGTGCTGCCTCAGCAGCTGGAACTTCCCTCCCAAAGCAGTGAGTGCTGCCTGGTGGGAAGTGAGGGGAGCCCCGGTGCTGACTGAATCTGCAGGGTGCTGTCTCTGCCCTGCAGGTGTGATTGATGACAGGGGAAAGTTCATCTACATCACTGCAGAGGAGATGGCAGCCGTGGCCCAGTACATCAAGCAGCGAGGCCGAGTCTCCATTGCAGAGCTGGCCCAGGCCAGCAACTCCCTCATCAACCTCCAGCCTGACAGCAGAGCTGTGGCTCCAACCCTGGCCTGAGGAACATGCTGCAGGAGCTTAACCTCTTAATGAATAAAGCACATAATTAAAAGCAAACGAGAACCTCCCCGGGGCATTCGTGGTGCCTGAAGGTAGGATGCTCTTTTGAAGCACCAGCTGCAAACTCAGAACTTTTTAGAACTGGTGTTAAATGATAAGAGTTGATTGTACAAGAGGCTGGCCAGGAACTCAAACACTGATGCACCTGTGGCCCAGGAGGATCAGTCATTTATCCTCTGGCAGCCAGTCTCATGTTGCTATAAATAAACTTTTTATTGTTTGCAGATTCTGATGTCTCCATCAATCTGATTGCATTCAGGGTTCTCCAGGCTTGCTCTGCACTGTGGAGCTGTTTAACTTTGTGATGGGCACAGCATAGGTGTGTAGGCTTTGGCTGCTGTACTCACATTGGAAGGAAAGAGTAAAAAGAAAATAACTCTATGTGTGTCTTTGTTCTTGCTGAAATATATCCTGAAACTCTGGTTGAATGGTTGCTCTGTTCAAAATTCCAGGGGCTATTTCAGGAAGCCTTTGCTATATAAATATGTTTTCCTTGGTTTATGTAACATAAAACTTTTGCTTGCAGACAAGCTGCATCATTTCCCTGTAGCCAAGAGACAGAAACCCCTCCAGGGAAGATTTGACTGGGCTCATTTATTGTGCAGGCCAGTTCTGCTGATACCAACCAGATCCTGGTGATTCATCCTTTGAAGTCAGAGCCAGCTCAGAGTGTCTGAAGGGCTCAGACACCCCCACCCCGTGGCCTCTGTGTTCTGCAGGTCTGGGGGTTTTTAAATAAAAACTTCAGAAACTCTGAGTCATGCAATGAATGTTCCAAGTTAATTATTATTAATGTATTAATTGTATGGGTCAGTGTATTTCCTGCATAAGAATATTTATTTTTTCAATTATTCATTCATTCTCCTTTCTGAAATCAGCAGAATTTATGTGGATGAACAGTAAAGGGGAGGACAAGAGGTTTTGTCTCTGCCAAACTTGGAGGTAACTTGAGCAGACTAAAAGCCACCTTATCAGTGGGATGAGACAGCAATAAAACAATGGAAAGAAACATTTCCTTTTAATCCCTTTAGTGCTGCTGGATGTGAGAGTGCAGGAGAGTGGAGTTCCACCAGCACCATGTGTTGGTGTGAAAGATCAGCACATCCTGAGTGCTGTACAACCACAGCCAGCAAAGAGGTTATTGAACATTTGAGGATTTTAAACTATCTTCCCTAAGGATTGCATATTAAATTAAAAAAAATATATATTTGGGTTTGCCACTGTTTTTTTTGTTCTGTCTTCAACTATACTTGTAATAAAATCAACAATATTGAAAGAACTTGCAGATGTTTTTGTTAGAAATGGGCAGGGACAGGGTTGGGGTAAGACATGAGCGTGAGCTCTGCCAGTAGCTGCTCTCCCCTCCTGATCCTCTCCCACCATTTCTATTCCTGTTCTTTTCACCCAGCTGCATCCTCTCAGCACTCAGGAAAAATTTTTCTCTCATTTTGGGTGTGCTTTGCTGCATGTGAATTGTGATGCTGGGGATTT